TATCGCTACGGCACCTGTTGTCTCACTTTTTAAAAGCTCTTTTCCTGGGTTTGCTCTTTGTTAGAGCTCTTGTCTTGAGTCCTTGGGCACAATTCCCACCACTGAAAAATGTTCAATATTGAATATACTTTTTACTGGGTTAATACGCTAACCTTTGACATGTCTGTCCTGAATCACCCTTTTTCTATTCCATTGAAGTGTTTATTATATGCCTGGGAACGGAAAATGCTGTTTTAACTGCTGCTTATATGAACATTACTTGCATCCATAACTCTGAGGCTTTCTTTTTTTTTTTTTTGCAATTGCTGCTCCCATTTATTGTACATGAATTTTTTTGGAGGGGTCACATCTGGTAGAGCTCTGGTACTCCTGGCTCTGTATTCAGGGATCCCTGGGGGGGGGCCGGGGATATCTCAGGGCACCAGGAATTGAACCTGGGTCAGTACATACAAAGCAGGTGCCCTACCCGCTATACTGTCGCTCTGACCTCTATTTCATATAAATTTAAAAGTGAGTAATCAAATTATAGACTCCTGTTACCAATTTCTTGTAATTGTTTTAAACATTGAAAGAATGTGATTAGGGGCTGAAGCGATAGTACAGTGGGTAGGACATTTGCCTTGCACATAGCCAACCTGCGTTCGATCCCCGGCATCCCTTATGGTCCCCTGGGCATCGCCAGGAGTAACCCCTAAACATCACCGGGTGTGACCCAGAAGCCAAGAAAAATTCAAGAAAGAACATATTTATACCTTCCTATTTAGGAATAAGTTCTTCTTCTTAGTCAAGTTTTCTCCTAGTACTTGCATCCCACTTTAGATAATTTTGTTAGTTTAGATTTGAAAATTACATTCCACTTTAGATATTTTTGTTCGGATTACTTTGTTATTTTAGGCTACTTGGTGCTTTTTTGTGGTTGTTACAATTAAAATTTATTTCAGAAATGGTTACTTTATACTCTGTGTAGTTGTGACAGAATCTTTTTCCCTTTGCATTGTTCTCCTTGGTGGTTTTCTTGCTTTCCCCATCTGTCTCCTCTGCATTGCTGGGGCAGGGTGTCTACCGCTCCCTCCCATCTCGTTTGGGGGTCCTTTCATCATTTCACACGAAGTTGAGGAAATCTGTTTCTGTATTTTTCCTGACCGTTATAGAAGTTATTTTCCAGACCTAAGCTTGTATTATCAACTTGGGTGGTTTTCTAAATCTTATTATTATTGTTGTTGTTATTATTATTATTATTATTTTGTAAATTCCTAGCAGCAGAAATATTTATGCTGATGCCTTATTTTAAAATTGGAGAAAAGTGGATGGATTAGGAATTGGTGATGTTTGGGTCTACTGTGGATTGGAAGGAATCAATCTTTTTTTGTTTGTCTTTGGGACCACAGCTGGCAGTGCATACTCCTTGGTCTGCACCGAGGGATCCTTCCTGGCGACCTTGGGGGACTGGATGGAGTGCTGGGGATTGCGTCTACCTGCCGTGCTATCCCTCTAGTCCCAAGGACGAACCTTAAGTGTTGTGGAGCTGAGTTTATGCAGGGTCATTATTTTTTGGGAAGTGGGGGTATAACCGAAAGTAAACGTTCTATTTGAGACAAGTATTTAAAATAAACAGGTTGTATGGCTTCTAATTTTGTTTTTTATGAGGAAAACATATCATAACAAACTTTGGAGACTGAAAAATGCTGGTGACAGTAAACATGTTAATGGTACGGACTCACTTATTAAGCTGCTTCTAATCTGGGTCATAGTTGGTTCAAAGCGCTTCGAGTATCCATTATTCAGTCCTGACAATAAAACTGCGAAGTTGGTGCTATTCCCCCCACTCCCACTGTACATACAGATGAGGACATGGAAGACGTTGAAAGCTCACAGACCTCGCCGTGTGGTGAGAGGGGTTGTCAGCAGAAGAACATTTTTTTTTTTCGGTCAGCCCAGCAGTGCTCAGGAATCACTTCTGGTGGGCTTGGCGACCATATGGGGTGCTGAAGATTGAACCGCAGGTGGATAGTGTGCAAGACCAGCACCCCCCTCCCCCTCCATACTGACCGTACTGTCTCTCAGGCCCAACAAAGAGCTTTACTTGTTTTTTGTTTGGGGGCCACACCCAGTGATGCTCAGGGCTTACTCCTGGCTCTGCCCTCAGGAATCACTCCTGGAGGCGCATGGGGGACCCTGTAGGATGGCGGGAGCCAAACCCGGGTGAGCTGCATGCAAGGCAAGCACCCTCCCCACTGTGCTGTCTTTCCGGCCCCAAACACAGAGCATTTTTAACCCCAAGTGGTGTGACTCGAGAGTTTCTCTCAGAAATCTTGAAATCAAACGGCCCTTCACAAAGCACTTGGTTGGTTGAAGCTGGCTTGAACCCGAATCCTTGGAATATGGCAGCGAGGCAGAGATGGGCCGTGTGGGCTCCCTGTTGGGCTGCATCTGGACCGCAGCTCAGACGGGAAGTGTTCGTTTCCCCAGACTTTTCTGGGCTCCTGCTGCGTGAATCACAGTCCCCCGTGGGCACGGCCGGGTGACGCCCTTCCCCGGCAGCTCGGAAACAAGAGTGTTGACATCAGTCCTCAGTGGGAAGCTTGCCTGTGTGGGCTGGGGGCAGGTCAGGGAGGGTGTCTCTCCCACAGTGATAGAGCCACACGGTCACTCTTGCCGAGGGCTGGCCGGTGCTGAAAGGAGGGACAGCGATAGGCACGAGACCACTTCAGGGATAGTGTTGCGAGCCCCTGTGTCTGAAGGGTCAAAGGTAAACCTGCTGGAGGAAAGTGATAGTGGTGAAGGGATGAGTGCCTGGACCTTGGACACCTGAAGTGCAATCATGAGTCACTTTCTGACTTTGTAATTCATGGTGATTCCATTAAAAAAAAAAAAAGAAAAGAAAAAGATCAGTGGGGCCAGAGAAAGAGCTCAGTGGTTTGAGTACATCATATGCAGGATGCCCTGGCCGTGATCCCTGCTGCCTTCTGGTCCCCGAGGCCACCACCCAGACTGGCCTCTGAGCACTGAGCTGGGAGTACCCACCTCAGCACTACTGGGTGTATCTCCTTCCCTCTCGATTTTAAAAATCCAAATGTTTTCTGGGAGAATCCAACGGGGGCGTCAGAATGGGTCACCATGGACCCCTGTCTCCAGGGCCCCTCCTCCCGGCCTTCTGGTTTCTGTGATAGCTAGCACCTTGGCTGTCTGGCCTGCACCCGGGTTGGTGGCTAGCCACCGTGCTCCCTGAGGCAGTGGGGTGCTCGCACACTGGCTGCAGTGTGGCTGCTGGTCCTTGGTGGCCGCTGTAGGGCTGACTTGAGCAGGCTCCAGAGTTGCCTGGGTGGATGTATTGCTCTGGGGACTGGACCTTGACCAGGCTGTCCTCTGGACCCCGTTCAGGGGACTTACAGACACATTTACCTCATTTATCTTGCTCATCTGTTGCTGCTGAACAACTGCATTGAGCGAAAATAATGCAAGGCGAACCTGATTTCCCGTGTCAGTGAGGCTCTGTCTACTGTGTTCTATTTTGCTTCACACTTGGCCTTTGCTCCCTGTTCTGCTCAGTAGGCTTGGCACGATTTGAGCGTGTGGATGATTTCAAAGTATCATATGGGACTCTGCTTCTTAGTTCAATAGATTGCCTAGAGTCTTCCCCCTTAAGACAGTCGAATGCTAACTTAAGGAGGTGAATGTCTTCGAGGATTTTCTAGTCCTCAAATTCTTCTGTTGTTTTTTTTTGGGGGGGGGGGTGTCACACCCGGCAATGCACAGGGATTACTCCTGGGCTCATGTACTCAGGAAGTACTCCTAGCGGTGCTCGGGGACCATATGGGATGCTGGGGATTGAACCTGGGTCAGCCACGTGCAAGGCAAATGCCCCACCCGCTGTGCGTTCACCCCAGCCTCGTCCTCAACTTCTTAAACTGAAGGAGAGCAGTGAATCTCGGGAAGCGTCCGGTGCCACTGGCAGCTCTCCTTGCCTGCAGCACAGGCACAGGAGGACAGTGCGAAGCCTCAGGACTGCCCATGACCATCTCCTGCACCAGCGGTGCGTCGTTTTCAAACCCAGTCATTCCCTTTGTGCGGTCTGATATTAAACCTGGCTGTGGTGTTCAAGAAATTTTCAAGGGAAGTGTGACTAACATTCTCCTTCCTTGCATGTAGCATTTCAGGCTCAATGTGGACACTAATGAAATGGAAATAATCTGGAAAGAGCCTTGTAATGGCTTTAAGCTTGTTAGAGCATGATAAACCTGAGAAAGGGTGGGTGGAAGAAGATTCTGAATGGATTTGTTATATAGCTCATCATTCTTTTTTGGGGGGAGGGGGGTCGTCCCCGGTGGTGCTCTGGGGCCACTTCTGGATCTGCACTCAGGAATTACTCCTGGCCAGTACTTGGGACCGTATGGGATGCCAGGGAGCCAACCCGGGTTGGGCACACCCTCCCCGCTGAATTAGTGCTTCGGCCGAGGCTTTCTTTACCCATCTGCATCTCAGCGTCCTCTTGCCATCTCAGACCTCCCAGCCACCATTGCTCTATTACTTGAATAAACCGCTGCCTCCTCATCCTTCCTGACACAAAATTTGTGTTTGCTGGTAAATTATCAGTTTTTTTTTTTTAATTTTGCTTTTTGGGTCACACCTGGTGATGCACAGGGGTTACTCCTGGCTTTGCACTCAGGAATCAACCCTGGCGGTGCTTGGGGAACCCTGTGGGGTGCTGGGAATCGATCCCAGGTCGGCCGTGTGCAAGGCAAATAAATGCCCCACCCACTATACTAGTGCTCCGGCCTCCAGTGTGTAAATTATGTGTTTGCTGTAACTTACCAGTTTGTTGATCAGCAGATACTTGCTGAAGGGCTTGGCGCACTCTCGGCTCACAGGATAATGAAACACCAGCGCCGAGGACACAGGTTCCCTGCCTGTGTGTGCAGCCTTTGCCCATGATCCCAGGCCCCGATCCCAGCGCAGCTTCTCAGAGCCTCGCTAACTCTGCCTCCTTCTCCTTTTCCCAGACGTCAATCACAACCCTTCTGGACCCCAGTATGAACATTCACCGCGGGGCCCTGTGTCTTCTCCCGGCGACGCGAGCACAGACGGTCAGGATGCTGCTGTGAGTGACGCGCCTGAGCGGGAAGCATGGCCCTCGGCCCCTGGCAGTGACCCCGAGTCGGCCTCAGAATGTGTGGACGCTGACTCTGCCTCGAGTTCCGGATCAGAGCGAACCATCACGACCATGGCGTCGGGGGGCGCGGGCGGCGACAAGGATGGCCTTCGGGGTGGTGCCGGACTTGGCTCCCAAAATAAGTTTGTGGCTGGTAGTGGCGGTGGCGGCAGCGCTGGCCCCGGAGGCTGTCCCGGGCCATGGGGCTTCCCCCATGGGGCCATGCTAAGCACATGCCAGGTCCCCACGGAGGCGCCCGACGGCACGCCCGAGAGCAGCGGCAGTCGCGTGAACGCTTGGGGCACGGCGAGTTCTTCATCCCACGGGGGGTTAAATCCAAGCACTTTGAATCCCGCGAGCAACCACGGTGCCTGGCCAGTATTGGAGAGCAGCGGGCTCGCCCTGAAAGGGCCTGCGGGCAGCGGCGGCGCTGGCGTCGGCATGCAGGGTGGCACCCTCGGCCAGATGCCCAACAATCAGAGTATTAACTCTAAAGCGGGTGGTCCTTCTGCCCACGGCACCTGGGGAAGCCTTCAGGAGACGTGTGACTCCGACCTCAGTGGTACCCCGAAGGTTTCGTTCAGTGGTCAACCTCAGAACATCACCGCTGAAACGGCCGGACCAAATAACACTACGAACTTCATGACCTCTAGTTTACCAAACTCCGGTTCCGTGCAGAACAGTGAACTGCCCGGGAACGCGGGGGCCTGGCGCGTGAGCACAGTGCACCACCCTCAGATCCAGGCCCCCTCGGTTATGAACGGCACTTCCCTTCCTCACCTTAGCAACGGAGAGTCTAAGAGCGGGGGCGCCTACGGTACTACATGGGGTGCCTACGGCTCTGGTTACTCTGCCGACAAATGTTCCAGCCCCAACGGCCAAGCTCATGGTGACACTGTGAATGCAACTCTAATGCAGCCTGGCGCAAACGGGCCCGGGGGCACGGCCTTCCACACGAACACGAGTAAAGGAGGCGGCGTGTGGGAGGCAGGGGCGGCGAGTTCCCAGGGCACATCGTGGGTGAGCGGAAATGGTGCAAATTCTGGCGGCAGTCGGCGAGGCTGGGGCACCCCTGCACAAAACACTGGCACTAATCTCCCCAGCGTGGAGTGGGGCACGCTGCCGGGCAACCAGCATTCCAGTGACAGTGCGAACGGCAACGGGAAGAAGTTTACAAACGGATGGAAGTCTACTGAGGAAGAGGAGCAGGGTTCTGCAGCATCTCAGACCAACGAGCAGAGCGGCGTGTGGGCCAAAACGGGGGGTCCGGTGGAGGGCGAAGGTAGCACGGAAAGCACTGGACGCCTGGACGAGAAAGTTCCCGGGGAGAGTCAAGGCAGAGACAGGAGGAAGGTCGATCAGCACACATTACTCCAAAGCATCGTGAACAGAACGGACCTGGATCCCCGGGTCCTGTCCAACTCCGGCTGGGGACAGACGCCCATCAAGCAGTACACTGCCTGGGACACGGACGCCTCGCCCCGAGGGGAGCGCAAGGCGGACAGCGGGACCGAGGCCTGGGGGAGTGCTGCCACCCAGACTTTTAACTCAGGGGCGTGTGCCGAGAAGATGAGCCCTAACAGTAACGATACCTCATCTGTAGCGGGGTGGGGAGACCCCAAGCCGACTGTGAGGTGGGGGGATTCCAAAGGCTCCAACTGCCAGGGGGGGTGGGAAGACGATTGTGCTGCTACAGGAACAGTCAAGAGCAATCAGTGGGGGGCTTGCAAAGAGGAGAAGTCCGCCTGGAGTGATTCGCAAAAGAGCAAACAGGGCTGGGGGGACGGGCAGAAGTCCAACCCCGGGTGGACTGTGTCTGCCGGTGATGGCTGGGGCGAGAGCCCCAGGAGTAACCACTGGGGCGAGGCGAACAAGAAATCCAGCTCAGGAGGCAGCGATAGCGATCGGTCCGTTTCCGGTTGGAATGAGCTCGGTAAAACTAGTTCCTTCACCTGGGGAAATAACATAAATCCAAATAACTCATCAGGATGGGACGAGTCTTCGAAGCCTAGCCCTTCCCAGGGATGGGGAGAGGTTCCAAAGTCCAATCAGTCGCTGGGTTGGGGGGATTCGTCTAAGCCAGTCAGTTCTCCGGACTGGAATAAGCAACAAGACCTTGTTGGGTCTTGGGGGATCCCACCAGCGGCGGCAGGCAAACCTCCTGGCACCGGCTGGCTGGGGGGGCCCATCCCGGCCCCGGCCAAGGAGGAGGAGCCCACGGGCTGGGAGGAGCCGTCCCCAGAATCCATCCGGCGCAAAATGGAGATCGACGACGGCACCTCGGCCTGGGGAGATCCCAGCAAGTACAACTATAAAAATGTGAACATGTGGAACAAGAACGTCCCGAATGGTGGCGGCCGCTCCGAGCAGCCAGCACAGGGGCCCCCACTGCTGCCGGCCGCAGGCCCTGCCTCCAGCAAGGATGTGAGCAGTGGCTCAGGTGAGTCTTCGCAGGGCGGGCTCATCAAGGGGGGGCGGGTGCTGGGCAGCAGACCCTCGGGCCCCTTCCCTTAGTTTCCTGGTGGTAGGATTTAGAAAGTGACACAACTGCCCTCTTTTTTTTTTTTTTTTTTTTTTTTTGCGGGGAGGGGCTGCCTCTTGCTGTGTGCAGGGATCACTTTCTGCTCTTCTCAGGGAACTGCATGTGGCCCGGCATCTGTTGGCTGCAAGCCTCCTCACCCGCAGTCTCTTGGGCCAGTCGCCTTTTCTGTTTGTCATCTATGAGATGCCTATGGGGAGGGAAAAAGGCAGGAAGGGTGATTGCTCCAGAGGAGTGGGGTTGGGCGATGTTGACTGTGAATCCTGCGTACGCTGTTTTCCTCTCCGCGCGGAATTCTCCAAAAGGATTGTGTCAGAACTCTGCCCGCCAGCCATCCCATCTCTTCTCCTTTTATTATTTGATTAAACAATCCCAGGTATTCAGCCAAGTACTAAGCGCAGTAATCTTCCAGTACTTGGCCGTGGAAGGGATGTGTTAGAAGCTCAAGCCTCTTTTTGTTACTGTTTGTTGGTTTTTGAGTTTTGGGGGCCAAACCTGGCCATGCTCAGTGGTTACTCTTGGCTTTGTACTCAGGAATTACCCCTGGCGGTGCCTGGGGGATCACGTGGGGTGCCACGCGTTGGGCCCACGTTTGCCTGTGCGAGGCTAATTCCCACCCCACCGTCCCATTGCGCTGGCCCCAGGAATGTCCCGGCTGTGGCCATGTGTCTTTCACACACAATTCCCCCCCCCCCCCCCCTCTCCTTCAGCAACAGGACTGGCTCCTGGCTCTGCAGGTTGTCCTGACAGCCTCTGCCCTTTCATCCTATTTTATTGGGATGTGTTTCCTTTCCTCATGGTGATTTTTCCTGAATAAGTGCCCATTCCATGTGGGGATGGGCCGGTCTCCGTGAACTGGCTTTTCTGCAGCCAGTTCATTGTTACGAATTTGGGATTAATTCCTAGAAGCAGCAGGTCCGCTAAGGAGAAGGCGTTTTTGTTTTTTGCTTCAAACCTTGTTTGAGCTGGCATGTGTGTTGCTGTCTCCCTTGGCACAGGCTCTGCTCCTCCCACGACCCCCAAGACTGGCGTTTGGATTCAGTGGGAACCGGAGGGGGCTTTGCTTCTTTGAAATAACGTTTACTTGGCTTTGATTTTTCTCTGCTTTGGACAACATAATTTTTGGAAATTTCTTATCCTTTTTTTTTTCTCCTCCCTTTTGGGGCCACATTGGGTGGTGCTCTGGGTCTACTCCTAACTCTGCACTTAGGAATCACTCCTGGAGGGGCTTGGGAGACCATCCGGGTTGCCGGGGATTGACCCCAGATCAGCCGTGTGCAAGGCCAGCGCCCTCCCCGCAGCACTCTCCCTTCGACCACGTTTTCGGGTACTCAGAACCGGTGCTGTGCTGCAGTTACCTCAAAGGGCACTGCCCCGTTGCTGGCCTCACAGCTGATTGCACCCAGCAGTGAACTTTTGAAGGGCTGCACTGCGGGTAAGAAAGGTCTCGCAGACTTTCTTCCCGGACTTGTCTGTTTCCTCTTTGTTTCCATGGGTGTGGCTCGGAAGGACAGCGAGAGGGAATTCCACCCATCTTCAAGAGATAGGACAATTTACCATGGTTCGGGTTGTGGAGAAGAATCCGATCCCCACACAAGGCAGTTAGGACAGAGAGGGGAAACCACCTGACTTTGTGGGGTCGCTGTGCGGTCCCTCAGGGAAGTGGGTGCCACCGGCTGGCCCACGGCGGCCCCTGCTTCCTGCTTGCACGGGAGGGTCTTCCTCTCGGGTTCCCCACTCCCTGTCTGTCACCAGCATGCCCACTGTGTGCTGACGGCTTTTCCCACACTCTCTAAAGGCTGGGGCGAGCCCTGGGGGGAACCTGCTCCAGCCACCACCGTGGACAACGGCACTTCAGCTTGGGGGAAACCCGTGGACAGTGGCCCCAGCTGGGGGGAGCCCATTGCTGCGTCCAGCGCATCCACGTGGGGCTCCGGCTCTGTCGGCCCGCAGGCGCTGAGCAAGTCTGGTAAGTTGCTGCAGACTCCCGGGCCCTGTGTGGTCGCACGGGGGTCCCTGGGACAGACAGCCCCGGGACCCCCATGTGTATGCCCTTGTGGCATCACGCCAGGTGGCCTTCTCTGGCTTTGGAGTATTGTCCCATCTGGCCCGCTGAATTGTCCCCCTTTGCTCATCTTAGCGCAGAGCAGTGACTGTTCATGACGTTCTCGTGCAACATCGACATTACCTTTTGCCAAATTAGATTCGATCCAGAAGTGATTGAGCAACGGGCATGTTCTTCAGGTGAAAGACTGAGTGGAATGGCCCTCACGATAGTCCTGGACACGCGAGTCCATCTGTCTGGCTCCTGTTCAGGGTGGGCCTGATGTGGGAAGGACATTGTCCCGGTTGGTTCCTGTACTATCTACAGGGTCACCCACAGCTGGAACAAAGGTCATGGGTAGAGACTAGCGCTTCATGCTTGTGACTCGCAGTACTTTTTGTGCACTCTCTTTGGATATATGTATATAGAAAGATTGTTTTTTAAAAATCATTCCAGGGGCAGGGAGATAATACAGTGTGTAGGGCACTTGCCTTGCATTCAGCTGACCCAGATTTGATCCCAACATCCCATATGGTTCTCCCAGCCTGCCAGGAGTAACCCCCTCAGAATAAAAGAACCAGTTCCACCCAGGGCCTAGAGAGACAGTACAGGGGCTAAGGCACCCGCCTTGCATCCAGCTGAGTCTTTACTCTGTCAGAGCCGAATGTGGTCCCCAAGCCCCCAGAAGTAAAAAAAAAAAATCCATCCATCCTCTTTGCCCCCCGTGTTACCAGGCAGATTGAGTACAGACAAGAGTGCCACCATTTCTGTTTTAGCAACCTTCTGACATGTAATTTGCCTTGTGGATGATTCCATAACAGTAAACTTGTATGTAATGGGGTATTCGATGGGCTGCTCATCGCGCATACAGGCTGTGCAGACCAGAGGGGCACAGGAAAGTGGTCCTTTCCAGGGACCCCGCCCGGCCCATGTGTGTGCCCTCCAGAAAGACTTGTCTTCCTGAGTCTCTCTCTCTCTCTCTCTCTCTCTCTCTCTCTCTCTCTCTCTCTCTCAAATGCACGTTCAGGGCCCAAATCTATGCAGGACGGCTGGTGCGGGGATGATGCGCCTCTGCCTGGCGCTCGCCCCACCGGCTGGGAAGAGGAAGAGGATGTGGAGATCGGAATGTGGAACAGTAATTCGTCTCAAGAGCTCAACTCCTCTTTAAATTGGCCACCATACACAAAGAAAATGTCATCGAAGGTAAACATTTCAGGGGCAAAGCCCTTGAAACTTTCAAATTCCACAGATAGTTTACCCTCAGAAATAATAATTAACAACAACAACAAAAAGAATAAAGAATTCAAGGTGCTGCCTGCCCGTTGACGGCGACCAGTACAGTGCAGACAGCCCCCAGCGTAGGGATGACCTCGCTCCTGGGCAGCCACTGGGCAGACCGAGGATCACGGGAACTTCCTTTCTCCCCACTGCTACAGCTGGGGATTTCTCTCCTCCTCCCCCTCCACCAGTGCTGCCTGGGTCAACCCCGCGCCCCAGGGTGGTGCCCGCAGTGGTGAGGATGAAGAGAAGGGCAAATCTTCACGTTGACTCTCACCATCCCGTTGCCAGTTCATCTCCCACTCACCCCGCCCCACGTTCCCAGCCTGCCTGTCGCCCAAGGTCACATCCTGTTCATCGCGGTCACCCCCCCCCCCCCAAAGGTCCCATGACAAAAATCCCTGGGAGTGAAGCGAGCTTGGTTTTGCTCTTAGATGTCCCCACAGAGCTTCTCCCCAAACCTGGCTCTCCGTCACCGTCACGGAGCACACACTCGCTGGAAAGCTGTTTTCCTCTGACCCATCCAGGCTGCCTCTGCATTTTTGGAACTGAGACCTGTGTCTCGCCCTGAATGAGCTCACCAGATGTGAAGCAGAGCCAGGTTTGAGAACCGTTTAGAGAACCGGTTCTCGAAAGCAGAGCTGATGGATGTGGGTGTCAAATTCTCCTGGGGACCCTTGTCAGAAATACATGAAGGGTCCATCAGACCCCCCTCTCTGCCCCCATGATAATTGTGATGTGTTCTCCCGACCCCCTGGCCGAGGGAGGCGGGTCTTGGGGCGCCCTTATCCGTCACATACGGAGAGCCGCACTAGCTGACGGCCAGGCTCCTTGTTTTCATCCTGGGATTCTAAGTCTGGGACCTGCCATTTCCATCAGTTTAAATTTCATTTGGCTAAGTTTGCCGATCGCCTCCACGTGTAGCTTACGAAGTGCTTTCCCATGTCTGGCATTCCTCACTCGACCCCCATGACCATCTGAGGTGAGGCTACTGAGGAGGCACTCGAGGCGGAGACGGTGGTGACTTGCCCAGAGGTGCATAGCTAGTCAGTGGCAGAGCAAGGGTTGAGTCTAGGTTTTCCAATTCCAAACCCTGTTCTTCCCACTGGACCGTGCTGTTTTGTGACTTTGTCTTTCCTTACAGGGTCTGAGTGGCAAAAAAAGGAGAAGGGAAAGGGTGTGTAGCCTTTTTACTCTTTCTCCTTTGTTTCTACTAGTAAAAATCTTTTAGCAAGCAACTGCAAACTTTTCTTTAGCCTCTGCTGCGTGCCAGGTACTGTGCTTGGTGCTGGGGGTTCGAGAGCGCGAGGCCTGAGCCGTGCCTTCGAGGCGCTCAGAGCAGGCGGGGGCATTGGTGGAGCTGCTGAGGAGAGCCAGCTTGACTGTGCAAGACTCCAAGGGAGTGGGATGTGCGCAGGAAAATAGTGGCCCGAAATAACTAGCATGGAAGATTTTTTTGGAACGAGGTGACGGGCTCTCTGGCCCGGTAGCTGGAACACGGGCGGGTGGCAAAGTGTTGTCAGTGCTCTGCGAATCTGAGTTCGAATCTGTCTGAAAAACGGAGCCACTGAAACCACACCAGAGACTAGTCCGTGTGAGTGTCCCTCCTGAGTAGCAGGGAGACGGGCTGAAGCCTCAGATGGCTTTGCACCCATGCAGCTTAGGGAGGGGAGCCGGAAGGGGGGCCCGGCAGGGACAGACTTAGAGTGGAAGGAAAGGACGGGCGCGACATTTGGAAGTGGGACCTGAGGCCTCCAGAGAGGGGGCGGGGACGAGAGAAGATGGGGCGGGGAGCCGGCTTCCCCCAGCCAGGGAGAGCTAGCGAGGGAGGCGCTTGCTTCGGGGACTGCCTTGAGCGGGAGGGGAGGCTGTTTTCTGTTCCACGGTCAGAAGGAACAGGCCAAGCCCTGGGAAGAGGCCGTGGGGGACGGGCGGAGGGCAGGGAGTGGGAGAGGGTTGGCCTTGTGCTCCTCAGACTGCCCGCACCTGGCCTCCAGCCTCCCTGGCAGCTGCGGCTGCGTCCTGGGGTGAGTCTCCGGCCCATGCCCAGCTAGCCAGAGACCCTCAGCTGCCCGTGCTGCCATGGGCGCTGTGTTCTGAGCAGCTCCAATCACTTGTTTAGAGGTGTGTGTTTTTTGTGTGTTTGCCCCAACCTGGGAACACCTGGGAGCTCCCCCCACCACTGTGCCCTGCCGTGATTCAGTCTGAAGCTCCCGATTGTACGGAATCGGAGGGAGTACAGGCCAGTTGGAAATTGTAAACTGTGATGAGTTCGTTACTCTGGGGCCTGATTCGACCTTTTTAGGGGTTCCCAAGACCCTTGGCTTCGGCCTTTTCCTTCTGACTGCTTGCCTTAGAGATTTCTCTGTACATTACAGCTATACCAGAGGACTGGAGCAAAGGAAGTTGAAAATCACATAAGTTGATTTTTATTTTTAATAACTATTGATAAAAGTGGGTTCAAAAGAAATTTTTGGCTTAAAATTAAGAGTTGGGAATTGTCTTGAAGTTTGATTAATCCGTGACTGTGATACCCAGATAAATAGAGATGGCCATGGTATCTTTTTTATTCTCTTATTTTACAAAGGGAATGATGAAAGGTGGAAACAAACAAGAAGAAGCCTGGATAAATCCATTTGTTAAACAGTTTTCAAACATTAGTTTTTCGGTAAGTGCGTTTCCTGGTCGTCTCCTCTTTTATTGTGGTAGTCTGTCCGTCTGCCCTGAGCTCATCCTTCTGTTCCCTGGCCAAGCATTCTTTATCTTTGTGTCCTTGTGACATGCCTTAGGTTAGAGTAAAACTGTCCGGACACTTATTATAGTCTTAATGGTCACACAGTGAGCATGTCTCATTAAACAGTGTTGGAAAACGTAGCTTTGGGACCCACTTACCTTTCCCCGCCGATGAAATGCAGTGGGATCCTTTAGACTTTATCTGTATGGGTAAATGAAGATCTGTTGACACGCTGTTTTTTCCTTCCCTCAGAGAGACTCACCCGAAGAAAATGTACAGAGCAATAAGATGGACCTTTCTGGAGGTAAAGGGAAAAACCAAGTTGGCTTGAGCTTCTGTCTGTTGTTAGTGGGCAGAGGATTTAAGACAGGGTCCCACTGAGAGGGCGCTGACCTGCGCCAGGAGGGGCTGGGTTTCCCCTGACCAGGCAGATCGAAGACATTGGTCACGGAGTTGAGAAGCCCAGATTTAGCGCCCCCAAGCAGTCTTCTGTGGCTCACCTGCAGGCACACAAGAGAAGTGGCTCAGGACTCCGATAGCCGGGAAGGGGCAAGGGCCTGGGCTAGCTGCGCCCCTTGGCCCTGGCTTCTAAGCCGCGGGGGACAGCCCTGGTGGGGCGAGGTAACTTTCTACCAACTTCAGACCAGGGTTTGCTGTTGTTTATTGCCAGTGAATGTTTGCGTTGGATACCTATTTTTATATACCTGTATTGTATACCTGACATGGTGTAAAAATGCTCTTTTTTGTTTGAAAAAAAAAAAAGTGACATAGCAGAACCAGCTCAAGATGGCACCAGTGACCAGCGGGGACCCTCAGAGCCCGAGTCTAGGGGGCAGGCGGGTAGAGTCGGGGTGACGGGAGGACTGAGCGTAGCCCGGGCAGGAGAGGGAGTCAGCCCGTGGGCAGAGACGGTCTGCCAGGCCTGACAGAAATGTGCGAGATAAAGAGGCCTCGGCTGCCTGTGGACTGTGCCCCCCCCCCACCCCCGTGGCCCATGGGAGGGTCTGACGGCAGGGCAAAGTGCGTGCCCAGGAAGCTGGCGGTGGGTCGGCCGGCCACGGGGAAGAGAAGGAGAGGTGCAGTGCGCTCTCCCCGGCAGGGCTCCGGGTGGCACCAGTCACCGCTGCTGCAGAGATTCCAGCCCCCTCCAGCCCCCCTCCTTGGCCGAGCAGCCCCGTGGTCACTCTGTCAATCAGGGGGTCTATCACTGATTTGGTCTGGTTTGGGGGAACCACATGGTGCCGGGGGTCGAGCTTGGGGCTCCGACACGCGGAGCACGTGCTGCGGCCTCTGGCGCATCCCCCTCCCCTCCCCCCACCCCACCCCACCGCTCTGATTCGGGCAGATTTGGTTTACCCAGCGCTTGCATCATAAGGTTAATTTTCAACGACTTGTGAATAAAGTCAATACGGGAGAGAGGCAGGGAAGTGGTTGGCGGCCTTACAGGTGAGTGCTCAGTGCCCCACGGACGGGTGCTCATCCTCTGAGCCTCTGCATGGCAGTCCAGCTGCTTAGGGGGTGGAGCAGCTTCCATCTTTGTTACTGGGAGCCTGAGCCCTCAGCCTTCATGTCTCCTGTGCTGGGTTTACTTCTCCCGCTGCGCGTGCACGACTAAGTTTTCGTGAGAGGACGCCTCGGCCTCCAGGGTCCCTCGTGCTGCAGTTTCTGTATGAGGAAACTCCTTCTCTTCCTCTTAGTAATCAGAGGCGGTCACTCACTCCAGCCAGCAGCTGGACACACCGTCCCCTGCAGAATGTCTTGGGGTGATGGTAAGCAGAGCCCTTGTGTCTCCTGGGAGAGGTCGCCTCTCTCCCTCTCCCTCTCCCTCTCTCCCTCGAGGTGCTGAGTCACAGGCCAGCAAACAGGTCTTCTGTCTTAGCACCCGGGGCCTCATGAGAGCCCCTGGTTCTGGTTAGGGCGGACGCCTGCGGGGTGTCTTGTGCCCACCCTTCCATTCTCCTCCTGAAGCATCGCTGTCTGCCTTTGGTTGACAGTGTGTTAGAAGATCCCTTTGCCTTGCGCGCGGCCGAGCCTGCATCCCGTATGGTCCTCTGAGCACTGCCAGGGGTATAGTACTCATCCTCTGAGCGCAGTCCCTCTTACAAACCCTCTACCCGGAACGAGCTCCTTATTTATGCCTTTGAGGCCACACCCAGTGGCGCTTGGGAGATCATGTGCTGCCGGGAACGGAGCCCGGACTGCATGGGTCAGCGCTGTCCAGCCCCAGGACGGTGGCCTCCGCCCTCTGCTGGGGCCGTGGCTCCAATGCTGTTGCCTGATGGGCGAACCGTCCTCACCCTGGCCTCTCTGGGTGGCTAGTGCTAGCGGAATGCCTGGAGATGCCCTCTGAGGAGCTAGGGAAGGCTGTGCAGCGACGCCCTGCCACGGAGCTGTGAGTCAGGGGTGTGGAGGGCCGCTGACCCTCCTGGCCAGGCCCACCCAGCTGCCTTCTGCGTGTCTCTCACGCCCCCTCCTGGCAGAGCCTCAGAAACGCTGGAAAGGTGGAAATGGTGTACAGAGTCGGGATGAACTTTTCACAGATCAGTCAGAAAGGGTGAGCTGCAGGCCAGTAAATCAGCAAGTGGACGTGATGTAAGTTGAGGAAGGTGATGGGCGGGCATGACAGGTCTGCTAGGCAAGAGACTGAAGAGCCAGGGTGGCGATGGCCCCAGGGAGCAGGGCTGAGCAGTCGAGGCCCGTGCTGGGGTCGCAGAGAGCGAGGGTGACCGGAAATCTGACCAGGGTAACTGACGGGACACCGGCGGCTGTAAAGCCAAGAAACAGGGAAAGGAGGGTCACAGACCAAAGACAAAATCCTGGAGAAACGACATCTCTCAGAGCCCTAGAGGAAGCACACGTGACATCTCTCAATCTTAGAGAAAGCACGTGTGACACAGAATTTTCCAGAAGTGGGAACTGCCTCGTGAGGAGGTGAAGGTGGGGGATGGTGCCCTCTGCGGGCGCTGTGTCGTTGGGGTCTCTAGTCCGGGGCCCTCTCTCAGCTTTTGACATTTGGGATGCTCAGGGGCAACTTCTGATCTGCTGGGGGTGGAGGGGTAGGACCATGGGGCACTGCAAATCAGGGCCCCATACATAGCAGTCCCTGGAGCTTGCTGGCCCCCGAGGCCAGGATCCTTAGTAGAGCATCACTGGGGAAGGGGAGGTAATCTGCCCACCTGTGTGTGGGCTGTGGGGGTGTTGTGGGGTGTTTGCGGGGAAGGCGGGCCAGACTGCTCTCTCCAGGCTGCGGGGCGGCCCTGAAGGGTGGGGCTCGTGTAGGGCGGGCCATGGGCTCCAGTCTGTTCCCTGCCCCCGGACTCCCAGCACATGCTGCCGGTCCAAAGTCTCGGGACACTGCTGGAGAACCAGCCCCCAGCCTGGGGAAAAGGATCCCCAAAGAGCAACCTGGAGATGAGGGCGGAAGAGTTGAAGGTGGCCAGAGAGTATGTGTGTTGGGGGGGAGGGGGCGCGTGGACAATCAGGGGGCTTCTCAGGCCCAGCAGCCAGACCCTACCTGGAGCGGCACTGGGAAGACGCTTCAGAGTGGGCTTGTTCCAGAGGTTTTCTCTGGAGAGGCGGGACGGCATATCAGGACTCTTGTCTGGTCCGTGGGCCCCGTCTCCCCCGGAGGGTCCCCAGAGCCGTGCCAGGAGTGAGTCCTGAGCCCCATGGGGTGTGGCCCACAGCCCAGAAGGAAAACTGTTCCCTTCCCTTTTCAAACACTTGGCATAGAAAGAGGATAGTGTGGAGACGTGGCCCTGTCCGAGGGCGACCTTAGTTGCTGGGGCTGGATGAGATGTGAGGATGGGGGGTGGGGGTTGGGAGGGGAAGTGGGCCAGAAAGAGCGTCTTGGGCTGGGAACCGCGAGAATGAAGCAGCCCTTCGGGAGTCCCTGAAGGGCGGTCTCGGGGGAAATGGCCCGTGATTGGTAGCATTTGGGGCCCTGGAGGGAGGCCGGCAGACACAGGCTTGGCGGACAGCAGGGCAGCAGGCTTCGAGGGGGCGCCAGGGGTATTCGCGGGAAGAGGCTCCTTTTAACTGCAGGGAAGTCAGAGTGAGGAGAGTCACGGGCTGGAGGTGGGGCCAGAGAGAGCCGGGAGCTGTCACCTGTCTGGTCTCTCGGTGCCCCAGCTGGTAACTGGGAGCCATGAAAGACATGGGGCCAGTTAGCCTGGCGAGGCACCACCCCGCTGTCAAGCGCGTCCTTGGATGACGTGGTGGGGTCCCGCATGTTGTTAGTGAAACTGATATTTTTTTAAGAGTTTTAAGGAGACGAGACTTGGCCAGAAAGGATGTGGCTGGTTTGTTTAGTTTATTCTCAGATGCATTTGATTCAGTGAAGTATTGAACTATTGCTGAACTGCTATTAAAAACCCAGTTTGCCCCTTGAGCAAGTGTAAAATACTCTGCATCCTAGTGGGTTTTTCACATGTTGTTGTCCAGATAGAAGTCACTGTCGGGTTGCTTTGCTTCCTGCTCAATGTTTATCTGAAACCAGCAAGGTTTTATTGTCTGCCCGATTGATGACGTGTCTCCTGCATTTATAGGAATGTTACAAGACAAGCGAATGGAGATAGATAAACATAGCCTAAATATTGGTGATTACAATCGAACGGTCGGGAAAGGTCCTGGTTCTCGGCCTCAGATTTCCAAAGAGTCTTCCATGGAGCGCGGTCCTTATTTTGATAAGGTGAGTTGTTGTTTTCCTCCTGTGACTAATAAAACCTGTGTGCTTAATGCTGTCGGTTTCTTGTTAATATTTCGCAACATGTCATAATATTAAGTATTATGCTCCAGTGCCAAAACTCTTTTTAACGGCATGTTGAGTTCATTGTCCTTTTTATGTCTTGATTCGGCTCAGGGGTTGCATTTGTAGTTTCTTCTGTGTCCCACAGAATATGTTGGGTTCTTTGTGCTCCAGAATTAACACTAATCTGCTCTTTTCTGTTTTCTGCCTGTCTCCTGTTGATGCTGGAATGTCATGTGACTTCTCTCCTGTTCCTGAAATGGTCTCTCCCTTCCACTTGTTTGCTTGGCTGGTGTTGCGCATCTTTCTGTCTGTCCGATCAGGATGGCCTTGTAACCGATGAATCCCAAAACATGCCGTTTATGTCCAGTCAGAGCATGAAGCTTCCCCCTTCAAATAGTGCACTACCTAACCAGGCCCTGGGCCCCATAGCAGGGCTGGGGATGCAAAACTTGAATTCTGTTAGACAGGTAAGGCCACCCCCGCATCCTAGGCCCCGTGTCGTGTGAGGTGTCTGTCGAGCGCTCCTCTGTATGGTGACTGTGTGGATGCTGGGCGCGCAGGGTGGCCGGACCCGCCCACCTGTCTCACAGGCCCCCGGGCCCTTCTGTTGCCGTGTGTCTCTGTAGAATGGCAATCCCAGTATGTTTGGTGTCGGAAACACAGCAGCACAACCCCGGGGCCAGCAGCAGCCTCCAGCACAGCCTCTTGGTTCATCTCAGCCTAATCTCCGTGCTCAAGTGCCTCCTCCATTACTCTCCCCTCAGGTAAGGGCACTCCTGCCAGGGAGCTCGAACCCCGGTGAGACCGGCTGCTGCCGAGTGTCCGTTAGAAAGCTCGCCGGGGCGAGGAGTGGGGGGCCGAGCACAGCGGGCCAGAGATGCTCTTTGTTTTTCAATTTTTCTTTTTGGGCCACACCTAGCGATGCTCAGGGGTTACTCCTGGCTCTGCACTCAGGAATTACTCCTGGCAGAGCATATGGGATGCTGGGAATCAAACCCGGGTCTGCCGCGTGCCAGGCAAACACCCTATCCGCTGTGCTATTGCTCCAGCCCCGACATAGACTCTCTCAAGCCGCAGACTGACCATTCCCCCCCTTGCTAAAGCACTTTGAAAGGAGAAGGACTCGTGGCAGAGTAACCCGGTCAGAGATCACCATCGCTCTTTGACTTGACATGTGACCGTCTGCGCGACGGTCCCCGAGTCAGAGCGGAGGCGTCCGCTGGGGGAGCCCGCGAGGTGGGCGCTCGGCATCGCCGTGCTGGGAGCTTAGAGTTCGGAGTACGGGACCTCGGCCGGGCTGCCAACATTTTAAACTTGCGTTGTGATCCTAAGGTTCCAGTTTCATTGCTGAAGTATGCACCAAACAACGGTGGCCTGAATCCGCTCTTTGGCCCTCAACAGGTAGCCATGCTGAACCAGCTATCCCAACTCAACCAGCTTTCTCAGATCTCCCAGTTACAGGTGAGCACAGGGGGTGTGGGGGGTGCCCAGTGGGGTCCCGCGGAACTCGGGCCCGAGGGGCAGGAGACGTTTCCCCGGTGACGCAAGCAGCTTCTGGCAAAGGCCGGCGTCCCTGAGTGGCCCCGCGGTCCAAGGAGGCAAAAGGGGGTGGGGGCTGCTCTGGGCCGTGAGCCGACCACTCTGGTGACCGTGTCGGCCGTCTCCCCGCAGCGACTGCTCGCGCAGCAGCAGCAGAGGGCGCAGAGCCAGCGGAGTGTGCCGTCTGGGAACCGGCAGCCGCAGGACCAGCAGGTAGGGCTTGTGTTCCCCACCCCCACCCCCCGCGTCCGGCGGCACGGAAGCTGCGGGCAGCCCCCTGCTTGCTCTCCTCCCCAGGGTCGGCCTCTGAGCGTGCAGCAGCAGATGATGCCGCCGCCGCGCCAGCTGGACCCGAGCCTGCTGGTGAAGCAGCAGCCGCCGGCCTCACAGCCGCCACCGCTCCATCCGCCAGCCATGAAGTCCTTCCTCGACAACGTCATGCCCCACACCACAGCCGAGCTGCAGAAAGGGCCGTCACCCATAAACGCTTTCAGCAACTTTCCTATAGGTGGGTGTCTGTCCCCGCCCGGGCAGTCAACGCGGTCACGCTGGGGCTTGGGGGAAGGATTGTTTTTCTGGTCAAGGTCCAGCTTTCCGAGGGGTGGCATGTGACGGGGGAGCTCACAGCTAGAAAGCGCTCCCCAGGGGCCAGAGTCCTGGTGCCACCAGGAGGCTGTCAACTGACCTGCCTGCAGCCCACCCGGGTTTCGTCCCTGGCACCGCATGCAGTTCCCGGGGCCCCACCACACTTACAGGGCAAGGTGTGGGGGCACACAGGAGCGGGGGGGGGGGGGGCGCGGGCATGTGCTTGATCAGGCACCACCAGCGCTGACCCCGACATCACTAATAACGATCATTTCACGTTCCGCCTCAGTGGAAGACTTTCTCCACTTTGCCAAGGAATTGAAAGACAAAATGACAGCACAAGTCATTTTCCAAGGTCGAACCCTGTTTCAGTATTAACAGCTCTGTGGGCTGGCAGCACCCAGTGATTGCATTCAGTGGGGCAGGCCTAGGATCTCTGTGCGGCTCCGGCCGGACAGCGTTGTTCTCCCGCCCTTGGCCCGGCGCTAGTCTCTGGAGCTGGAATGGTCTGGAGTCCGGGGGCGCTGCCGGCCCCACACAGGCTGGCGTTCGTGGAGGAACAGGCAGGGTTGGAAAGACTCGATTTGATTTTCTTGAAAATGGAGATGAGCTGTCTTTCAGAAAGTGACTTTCTGAGAGCGACTGTCTGATTTCCAGGCTTGAACTCAAACTTGAATGTAAATATGGATCTGAACAGTATTAAAGAGCCACAGTCAAGACTAAGGAAGTGGACAACGGTGGACAGCATTTCTGCGAACACATCTTTGGATCAAAACTCCAGCAAACATGGTAGGATACTAGCTTACAGTTTTTGTATTACACGGCGTGCATTTTATTGTTATAGGTAATGAATTAGATTCAGTGGTACTATTTTATTGGTTAATTTCTTTCAACATAATTTCACTGGTATAAGTACTTAGAATGGGTCAAAAGGCAGACAAACAAAGAGGCCTCAGTCTCATTGAATGTATATCAGAAGTAAAAAAAAATTTCCCTGAATGGGTCCTTATTGGAAGTGAAAATAAACATGTTACACCAGCTTTCCTGTACTGTGAGTAGGCATTGTAAAATAAAATTTAGTGGAGCCAGCGCAATAGTCTAGCAGGTAATACATTTGCCTGGCACACAGCTGACCTGGGTTCAATATTCAGCATCACTTATGGACCCCTGAGCACCACACCACCAGGAGTAATTCCTGAGTGAAGAGCCCCTGAGCATCGCTAGCTCTGGCCCCAAATTTAAAAAAAAAAAAACACACCAGAATTTAGCAGCTGGGGTAAGATTGAGTCCCAGCACAAGACTAGGGGTTAGCCAATAGTACAGGGGTCCCAAGGAAGGAAACGGGGTCGGAAGGCCACTGTACTTGGAAAAAGACAAGAAACACGACTGCAGATGTAAGAGTGTGTTGAGTAGGGCTCTTACCTGCACGTGGCTGACACGGGTTTGATTCCAGGCATCCCATATGGTTCCTCAGGTCCTGCTAGGAGTAAACCCTGAGTGTTACTGAGAGTGGTCCATACCACGCCTCTGCCCCTCCTAAAAAGAAAAGTGTGGCCAGGGAGACGTACAGTGTACAGGGCACGGTCCCCAACACCTCCCCTGCATGTGGCCTGAAAACCAAAGAGTAGGATGAACTCTTCCCCCCTCCACCCCTTTTTGGGCCACTTTTGGCCATGCTCAGGGTTTAGTCCTGGCTCTGCACTCAGGAAATACTCCTGAGAGTGCTCAGGGAACCCTGTGGGATTGTGGGGATTGAACCTGGGTCAGCCGTGTGCAAGGAAAACGCCCTCACCCCGCTGTGCTATCGCTCTAGCCCCTAGGATAAAATTCTTTGAAAGGTCACATTTGCATTATCCTGTGGTGTAAGCACTTTGCTGGGCTCAGAGCTATGAAGCTATGAGCTTTTGGCCTCGTGCTTTTTCCCTACCAGCTCTTCACTACCTCACTTCCCTCGAGTGTTCCTCATTCGTTTCCCCTCCCCCCTAAAAAAACCCAGACGGAAAACGTAGCACATGAGTCGGCCCCAAATCCTTGAGCCGCGCCCGTCCTCATTTAGGCCGTTTTCCTGGCTTTCCACGCGGGCCCCGGTGCCTCGTCGCTGGCAGGCTTCTCCTTTGTGGCACAAGACACTCCAGGGCAGTTTGCAGCTCTAGCCAGCGAGCAGGAGGCGATTGAAGTCGGGGGAGGGGCAGACCCCGTGGCGCGTGTGCTTCCCCCGTCTTCCAGTGACCCCGGCCCTCACAGGAACCCCCAGTGTCCATGAGGAACTGCTCAGCCTGTCCGTTTCTCTCTCCTGGCCCGTCCCCCCCCCCCCCCCCCCAGGTGCTATTCCAAGTGGTTTCCGGCTGGAAGAGTCTCCATTTGCTCCCTACGACTTTATGAGCAGCAGCCCCTCCCCAGCCAGCCCTCCAGGCTCCATCGGTGACGGCTGGCCACGTGCCAAATCGCCTAACGGCTCTAGCAGTGTTAACTGGCCGCCAGGTACTGTGCCACAGCCCCCCACCTCCCCCTTTCTCACCCCTGCCCGAGATAGCTGACGACTAGAAAGGGCCGGAGAGTGTGCCTCGGGGAGGGCACTGGCCTCCATCCCCCTAGCACTCAGCGTGGCCCGACCCAGAGCAGGAAGAGGGAATGGCTGCAGGCTGGAGCGGGGTGGGGCGGTGGGGCAGAGGGCAGCTGGCTGGTTCTGTGTCCGGGGCTCAGGGCCCCAGGCGGGGCGAGTGGGACAGAGCCGCCTGCCTCGGCATCCTCTCCTGCCCCAGCGGCTGACTGGCCTGACAGGACTTCAGTGGTGCTCAAGGGATTGCCGGAAATGCACCGAGGCAGGCTTGGGCCTCCTCCGGCGGCTCTGGACTCTTCTGGGTAACGGAGCCCTCTGCAGTGCTCCTGCTTAGGAACATAGACTCAGGGACCGTGGAAGAGCGCAGGCGCTCGCCCTGCATGTGGCGGGCCAGCACTGGTCTCCTGAGCACCCCCCGGAGGGCCTGGCCCTCCAGCACAGGACCCCTTCTTTCCAGGGGCGCCCTCCCTCCGAGGGTTATTCCAGCTGGAAGTTATTCTTAGGCAGCAGCTTCTGCTTGTGCATCGTGTTTCCGGAACCAGCCTCTTAGCGTGCTGGGCTTCATTAGAAAATGGCTGAGAATGGCACAGATTTAGGACTGAACGTCATGAATGTTTGATGTGATTTTTAAAAATGATTTGGCCTGAACTAATCTTCTGTTTTCATGTCCAGAATTCCGCCCTGGTGAGCCATGGAAAGGTTATCCAAACATTGACCCTGAAACTGACCCTTACGTCACTCCTGGCAGTGTCATAAACAATCTCTCGATCAATACTGTGCGGGAAGTCGACCACCTCAGGGACAGGAACAGTGGTATGTAGCACGTGTGTGTGTGTAACAGTGGTATATAGTGCGTATGGAACAGAGGTGTGTGTGTGTGTGTGTATGTGTGTGTGTGTGTGTGTGTGTGTGACGGTGGCACGTAGTATATGTGTCTGTGGAACAGTGGTATGTACTGTGGGGGGTATGAAACTGGTTTGTAGTGTATGTGAAAGTGGTATATAGTGTGTGTGAGAGTGGTAGGTAGTGTATGTGTGAAACAGTGGTATGTGGTGTGTGTGTGTGTGTGTGTGTGAGAGAGAGAGAGAGAGAGAGAGAGAGAGAAGCATGTAACACACATGGAGCGGAAGAGTGGTCCATAGCTGTGTGAGGATCAGGGGTCTGTGCTGTGGGCTCAGGCAGCATTTTGCTGGGCAGGGCTGGCCAGTGGGTGAAACTCAGCAGCTCCTGCCGGCTGCCAGGGTCCCCAGAGCAGTGAACTGAGGGTGTGCGTTTCCCTGTGGGAAACTCTCTAGCCACCTTCAGAGTGACAGTGCGCGTGCGGATTGGCAGTCCGACACAGGGACAAACCACCCATTCTCAGTGACGGCAGGAACGACTGCCGAGTGCTGCCTGTTTGAGTACAGGGTTGGCCCAGGGAGAAGAGACACTGGCTCCTGGTGGTCCTACACTGTGGATGTTGGAGCGGCCTGCAGGCGCAGCTGGCTCCTATCAGGGTGAGGTTAGGACTGTTTCATGGGCCCCAGGAGTCCGGGGCACCAGGTCAGAGCACCTGCACCTGCCATGCGTGCATGTGCACCACGGGCATCTCGAACATTCCCTGCCCAAGAATGAGATGGACGTAGAGATGTTTCTTACCCCTCGAACACACGTCCTCTCGTTTGTCCCTTAAAACCAGAGTGCAGAAGTCAGGAGAGGCGTTTAGATTTGGAGTGGAGAAGAAGCCTGGGGGGTTCTGAGTGGAAGCCAGGCGCCCACAATTGGGTTGTGCGGCAGTCTGAGCGGGCTGGGGCGGGGGGCGCTATTCAGGAGGGCTCAGGCGAGATGGGGGGTGGAGAGGGTGCAAGCTGTCAGGGCTAGGAAGGCTGCTTCCGGGTCCTGGCAGAAGGGAGCGGGCAGGTGGCTGCCCTCGACGGTCTGGTGTGGGGGGGTTGGTGGCCGACGCCTGGACCTGCGTGTTCTGAGCAGCCTGTCCATCGGTGTGCCCCCGAGCGCTTTTGTTGCTTCCCGAAGGCGCTGTCTTCTGCTCGGGGCTGACTGGCTGGCCCCCTCCCCACAGGGTCCTCCTCATCCTTGAACACCACGCTGCCTTCAACTAGTGCCTGGTCATCCATTCGTGCCTCCAACTACAACGTTCCCCTCAGCAGCACAGCACAAAGCACTTCAGGTGGGCCCATCTCCGTCTCCCTGGGGCGTGGCGGGGGCCCTGGGAGGGCAGCGTTCCTGCCGTGGCCGTGGCCCGGGAGCCCTTTCTCCCTAGCAGTTCCGAGGAGGTCAGTGCAGAGTTCCTGGCCGCCCGCGGTAAGGAAAGGACCTCTCCCGTAGTCCATTTTTGGTTCTTTGGTGACTGACCACCACGCAGGAAGCGTGAACTGCATTGCTCGAAGAGGGCTGGCTTGTCGAGAGCCTCACAGCTGGCACTTTCTCGAACCCGGGCAGAAAAATGGTTGCAAGTCACGTAAGCTTTAGATTTTTTTTCCCCCATTCCCTTCTGCCTTCTTTTGTTTTTCCCCCCAGCACTATCTGGTGGTGTTTTTTTTTTTTGTTTTGTTTTGTCTTTATTTTAATTTTTGGCTTTTTGGATCATACCCATCGATGCACCAGGGTTCTTCCTGGCTCTGCACTCAGGAATCACTCCTGGCGGTGCTCGGGGGACCCTGTGGGATGCCGAGGATCAAACCTGGCTCAGCCATGAGCAGTCAGTTTTGATTTGGGGAGGTTTTGGTTTTTGATATTCTTGTGGGGAGGAGGAGAGGGGGATAGGAGGGGAGGCTCGGGTCTTTCCTGGCTCTGTGCTCAGGAGTGGGCCCTTCCAGTGCTCTGGGCACCTTGCGTGGGGTCAGAGCTTCAAGCAAGGCAGGTGCCTTAGCCCCTGCAGGACTCTGCGAGTGGGTTTTTCTGGTTTGATTTGTTTCCGGTGGGAAAGTGGATGTCGCTGTTTCTGGCGTCGTCTTTACGAACGCGCTCTCTCCCCCCTCCCCCGCCCCGCCCGCTCTTTTTCTCTGAGTAGCCAGAAATAGTGATTCCAAATTGACATGGTCTCCTGGTTCAGTTACAAACACATCTCTGGCTCACGAGCTGTGGAAGGTCCCTTTGCCACCTAAGAACATCACTGCTCCGTCCCGCCCACCTCCGGGACTCACTGGTCAGAAGCCGCCCTTGTCCACGTGGGATAACTCGCCCCTGCGTGTCGGTGGAGGATGGGGGAGTTCTGACGCCAGGTACACCCCAGGTAAGATGGCTTTTTCCCTGCGCCCGGAGGGCGAGCACAGGAAGGGTGCGGGCCCCGTGGGGTGCCGTTCCGGGAGTTCAGGTTTGAACGCTTTAGATTTTGCTCAGTTTTTTATTTCAACTTTTTTTGTTTGTTTTGGGTCACCTCTAGGAATGCTCAGGGGTTCCTCCTGGCTCGGCCTCAGGAATCACTCCTGGCGGTGCTCAGGGCACCCTATGGGATGCTGGGAATCGAACCCAGGCCAGCCGCGTTCATGGCAAACACCCTCCCCACTGTGCTCTCGCTCCAGCCCCCTTGCCCAGTTTTCTGGAGGTCACCTTTGATGGTCCAGAGACGGGCCGAGGCCGATGGAGCTTTGGAAGTTCTGTGACGGCTGGTCTGAGAAGATGCAGCCCAACTCCAGCTCTCCCCAGGGCCCACTGGGCTCTGTCAGCTGCTTAGATGGGGACGCCTGAAAGTGGAGAGGGGCCGGGGGCGCCATTCGGACCGCCCCAGGGCAACGGGGCCATTGCACCCCCGCCTGTCCTTCGCACACACTGGTGCCCGCGCTGTGCTGGCCCTGTGACTCCCAGGCGTCCCCCGTGTGACTGCCAGACGGACTGGCTGTCGCCTGGGTCTGTGCCTGTTCAGCTGGGTCCCACGTGCCCGTGTCCACGCTCTTGGTGGGCTGTGAGGCCCCTGCCGCTTCTGCTTTGTGCCGAGGGCATGGCCCGGGGGCACCTGCCAGGTGCCCTTGGTGGGAGAACCTTCCTTCCTGGCAAGAACTCACGAGGCCGGGCCCCAGTGTAGTGCGTGCGGGGCCTCCTGGACTGGGGGCCCTGGGGTGGCAGCGTGTGGCTGCTCTGCCATGGTGGACAGGAGGCCGGGCCCAGCGTGGGGAGACGGAGGCGCTAGCCACCCCGGGGTCTTGGAGCTGGGCTCGGTGCTGGGGACACCCCCGGAGTCCTCGACAGGGAGATGGGCTGGACTCTGTGTCCCGAGACCCTGGCATGCCCCGCCCGGTTCTGGGGGTGGCAGCTGGCCATCGGCCCTGAGGGCACCGGTCAAAGCATGGTGTGCAGGGTGCGCCCCGCCCCCCGCCACTCACCTGTCCTTTCCCTCCTTGTTTAGGTTCCAGCTGGGGTGAGAGCAGCTCAGGGAGAATAACGAATTGGCTCGTTCTAAAAAACCTTACACCTCAGGTAAGCGTGCGGGACGACGGGGGCTTTGGCGGCCGGGGACAGGGCCGGGGTTGGGGTTGGGAGCCTGTGTGCCAGGCATGTGTGCCAGCCCTTTCAGCCCCCTCGCCGGGAAGGCGTAATTTGAGTGCGATTTTGGCCTGGGAGCCAGGGAGGGGGGTGGCTTCCTTCTGACCTCCTCCTGACCCTGTGCTCAGGAATCACTCCTGGCATGGCAAGGGGACCCCGTGGGAGATGGGGAGTCAGCCCTGCGTCGGCGGTGTGCAAGTCGGTCCCATAGCGCTGGCCCCCGGAACCTCGTGTTTTGCGAAGCCCCGAACCTCTGTACCCCACCCGTGCCACGGAGCAGTAGGGTGGCTGTAGCCCTCTGTGGGCAGGCCTCTAACGCCCCCTCCCTGGCTCAGATCGATGGCTCGACCCTGCGCACCCTGTGCATGCAGCACGGCCCGCTGATCACATTCCACCTGAACCTCCCGCACGGGAACGCTCTGGTCCGTTACAGTTCGAAGGAAGAGGTGGTGAAGGCACAAAAGTCTCTGCACATGTGAGTGGCCCCTTCCCTACCTGCCGCGCGCTTTCAGCCAGAGGGGGAGACAGGGTGTGCCCAGGAAGCTCCCCAGCCCACACCCCTGCCGCCTGCCCTTCCCCTGCTTCTCACGCCCCGCGCGCGTGTCTCTGCCCGCCAGGTGTGTCCTGGGGAACACGACCATCCTCGCCGAGTTTGCCAGTGAAGAGGAGATCAGTCGTTTCTTTGCACAAAGCCAGTCTCTGACCCCTTCTCCCGGCTGGCAGTCCCTCGGGTCCAGCCAGGCCCGGCTGGGCTCCCTCGACTGCCCTCACCCCTTCTCCAGCCGGACCGATCTCAATCACTGGAATGGTGCTGGGCTGTCGGGAACCAACTGTGGAGACCTTCACGGCACTTCACTCTGGGGGACCCCCCATTATTCCACAAGCCTCTGGGGCCCCCCCAGCAGCAGCGACCCCCGGGGAATGAGCAGCCCCTCCCCGATTAACGCTTTCCTTTCTGTTGACCACCTGGGCGGGGGCGGCGAGTCCATGTAGACGGGAGACGCAGACCTGTGACCTGACGGTGCAAACGCAAGGAGCACTAAGTCGGCTCGCCGCCTGCAGCCAGGGGCGCCCGGGGAACAGCTCTGCCCTGCACATTTCCCACTTTGTTTTCCCCGAAACATATCAGTTTGAATACTTGAATCATGCAGGCCAATATTATAATGTGAAAAGGTTTCTATCTATCTACACTCCCAAATAGCGCCATACATGCTGGACCGCACACAGAGCTCCCTCGTCTCTATTCATCATGGCTAGCCTTTCGCTTTGGTGGTTTCGGTGGGTTTTTCTTTCAGTCTCTCCCCACCCTCACCCCCACCCCGCCCCGCCCCACCCCACCCCATCTCACTCCATCCTGTTCCGTCTCCCATCCCATCCCATCCAACCAACCAATCTCCCCCCCACCCCCGCACCTACCCGGTCCCACACCATCCCATCCCTTCTCATTCCACCTCGCCCCACCCCACCCTGTACCATTGGTTTTCAACCGCCGGTCCGCAGAGATTTTCTGCCGGTCCGACACAAAAGTTATTGCCGCTAAACCGACAGTGGTTTTCAACTGCCGGTCCGAGGACCGGTGCCAGGCTGCAGGTATAAAAAGGTTGAAAACCACTGGTCTGTGCCCTGCCACCCCCACGCCCCCTCCCCTACCCATCCATCTTAGCCTTCCTCCTCCGCCCTGTCATCCCCCCCCCCATTTAGGACAAAAGATTCCCCCTTCTCTCTCTCCTCTCTCTCTCTCTCTCTTCTCTCTCTCTTCTCTCTCTCTCTCCCCCCCTCAAATTTTTTTTTTTTGGGCTGATAATGTTTGAGCTTTTAACTTTGCACTGAATGATGTTCTCTCGTCTCCTCGGCGATGGCGGGGGACAGCTGTTCCAGTGTAAATGTTTACTCAAGGACCTGAAAAGGTGTGCGCTCTGCCCGCCTGGGCGCTGCCCGCCTCGTGGTCCCGTGGAGCCTCAGAAGATCGAGTTAGGAGACTGACTTAGGACATCAGTGAAAGTGTTGCACCCGTCCCTTCTTCATGTTGTAAACTAAAGAATTTTTGCTCTGCAGTTTGAAAAACTGTGGTCGCAGCTGTGACTCGCTTCCCGCCCAGGCCCGGCCCTGCACTTTGAACAGGCTCTCCATTTTGTTTGGAAGGTCCCGCCGCGGGCCTTCTTGTTTACAGATTGTTTTGTTTGTTTTTTGAGAAAAAAAAAATGTTTACTCTTCCATCATTTAAAAAAAATTTAAAAGACAAAAAAAAATGGAGGATGATTTAAAAGATGCTTTCTATCTCTGGGAAAAAGGAGCAGCATTCGGCCATGTCCTTTAGTTTTTCTATTCCTGTCCTGAATCAAGGAGCATGGTTCTCAGGAAAACCAGTTCCCCGGTTTAAAACAAAATAAAAAAAAAAAAGACAAAAAAAAGACAAAAAAAAAATATGACCCTCCTTGTAGTTTCTTATAGGAAAAAGGAAAGAAACCCCAACTTTAGCACTGATCCTACACATACTGCTCTGTTAAAGGATTTTCTCTGCCAAAAAAAAGGAAAAAAACAACAAAAAAATGCTTAAAGCTGGAGTTTGACATTCTGCTTTCAGATGCTGTCTTTTTATTAGTGAGTGATGATGGTTTGCTAATAATCAATAGATAATGATTTTTGTAGCCCCATCCGTGGCTCTCTGTTTCTGCTCTCGTGCCCGTGTCAATGTTTAACTGTTGTACCTTAACGCCGAAATCAGTAACTATGCATACTGTAACCAAGGTATTGGGCTTACAGAATCGTTCGTTGTATAAAGAAGATTTTAAATGTTGTTGCAAACTAACGAGTTACACCATTTTAAAAATTTCTTTCTCTCCTTCCCCTTCCCCCTCCTTTTGCCCACAAATGGTATTATAATGCTTGCTTAGTCAAAGTGACTAAACAAGGGTAAAAAAAAATTTTTAACAGTACCGAATTTGCCATCATTTCATTGCCTTGATTCTAACTGTTTGTGTCCTAAGATGCAAAAGAAGTCAGTGGCTTTTTAACTGTTTACAAATAGAATGTGATTGTAAAATGTACAGTTTGGTTGTGTTTGAATTATGAAATCCCTTCTGACATAATAAAACCATGACTTTCTGGCTGCTCACCATTAACCGTCTCTTTTTGTGAATCCTTTGTACGCCCTTTTTGTGACGAACGTCTCAACGTTGCTGCGCTGTGAGGTTCCTCCTCGAGCAACCGATTAAAAAATGTAAGCAAATACCTGAACATTTATCCACGATCTTCACCCTGAAAAAATGTGAGAACAATGGGAAACTGTAGCTCGCTCCTTCGTGCCCTCCCTGAGCATCTCCGGGACCCCCATGCCCGGACTTCCCCGCGACTCATCTCCCACCATTCGTGCCCACCTCAAGCCTCAGCAAGAGACCCTTCGGAACCTGAAGCTCAGTGACTTGACAGTGTTCTAGTGTTAAACCCTCATACCTCTGTTACGAACCGAGAAACGCCACAACCTGGACTGGCCGCCTTCTTACCGCCCCTCCAAGGCCCCCGTCCCGGCAGGAGCCCGGGGCCACTCCTGTGTACGTGCATCCGTGTGACTTCAATCCTGCTCCAGCTGCCGTTGTGAGCTCATGTCGTTGGACACCTTAATCCAAGCAGATGTTCAGTGCTTTCCTGGATCTTGACTTCCACACTGGTTTTTCCAAAACCAAAGGTAGCTTCGAAAAACCACATCTGGAAATGTTCGGATCGTTAAGCAGACTGACCTTGTGGGGCTTTGAGTAGTATATAAACTGACTTCATAACTGCGTTCATTGTATTGTTCAAGTGTTTGGGAGTTTTTTGCGCTTGTTATGTGGAAATAAAGTGTTTGATTTAAAAAAAAAAGAGGTCAAGACAGATTCTGATTATTTTTGCCTGTACGCAATCAGACTCTCTTCCTCAGGCAGGGACTGTGTTCCTCATCAGCCGTCCTTAATGTCATTGTCACCGGCCTCAGCACGGTGTCTGCGTCCCCTCCCCAGGAGTGGGGGTTAGAGCGTGCCCACACAAGCAGAACAGTGGGAAGAAGCCCCCGGGCGTTTTGAGGCTGGAGGAAGTGGGGGTGAGTGTGTGTGTGTGGGGGGGAGTTGTTCCTAGAGGCGGGTCCCATTCTGGAAGCAAGGGGCTAGGGTGCAGGGCAGGAAGGGCAGATTGCTGAGGCATGAGTGTCTGGCTAAGTCTTAGGTGCCCAGACTTGGCTTACCAGCCCCTTTTTGGGGGGTGGGGAAAAAGGATTTTATTGAGGATTTATCTTTTTTAATTTTGTTAATTATTTTTTTAATTGAATCACACTGAGATACACAGTTGCAGAGATTGGACAGGAGCTGAGGATTGAGAGTATAAGCTTTTGGTATCTGTTGCAAACCATAGGCCCCCCCAACCAAGGAACCACTCAACTCCACCCCGTCCCCCCACAGAAATGTTACCTGCTTCTTTTTTTTAAATTTTTCCTCCTTTCCTTTTTGGGTCATACCCGGTGATGCATTCAGGAATCAATCCTGGTGGTGCTCAGGGGACCATGTGGGATGCTGGGAATCGAAACCCGCGTGCAAGGCAAATGCCCCACCCACGGTGCTATCACTCCAGCCCTGAAATCTTACTTGCTGTGAGGGAACAAATAGGAAGTGGTTCCCACCCCCTTCAATCCTCCCCCCTCCAATGCATCCACAGCACCCTCCTCCAGGGGTGGACCGGCCACTTGGGGAACCACCCTGAGCTCCGGGATCATTTCCAAGCTTTGAGCCGTGACTGCAGTTCCTGCCTCTGTCCTCTCACTTTCCCGCTGATGCGATGCTTTGATTTCAGGGTCTGGTCCCCAGGCAGAATCCAATCGAACTAACCCTGAGCAGGCCTCGTGCAAGGTCAGCAGCTGTGTCCCCAGCCTCCCCAGCTCCCAAGGCTGGCCCTGGGCTAGGGAATGGTGGCCCAGGGTCTCGGTGGCCGGGGCACTTACGCCTTCCCTTAGGGGAGGATGGGCAGTGGGGTCCCCTGGAGGCCTGGGGACAGAGAAGCGTCGTGAGCTGCTCAGGGGCTGCTCCCCGCGCTGCTTTGGGGACCAGCCCCACAGGCACGGCTCGGCTCAGCCTGTTGCACTCTCCTCTTCCAAAGAGCATTTAAGGAGCTACCTGCTTGGAACTGCCTGATGCTTCCAAAGGGTAACGGTGCCACCGGGCGGCCCTGTGCCCCACTTTCAGGAGCAGGACCAACGCGCTTCCACGGGGGGTGTTTGGCGCCCGGAGGCCACGCTGCCTTAGCAAGGGGTGCCACCCCACAGTGCAGAAGAGACAGACGGTCCCCATCACACTCGCCGCCCCACCGATTCACCTGGTTCTTGACCGATTTCGTCTTTGTTTAATTGAGGGGGCTGGAGCCTCACCCAGCAGTGCTCGCGGCTGGCTCATTCCTGGTGGTGCTCACGGGATCACCATATGTGATGCTGGGGATCAAACCCCGGTCGGCCGCATGCTAGCTGCTGGTTGAGGCACTTGCCTTGTATGCCGCTGACCCCGGACACCCCACAGGGTCCTCCAGGCACCGGTGAGAGTCACCCTGGCACACAGGGCAGGCAGTAGCCCCCAAGCACTGCATGGTCTGTCCCAAAGCCCGCCAGTCCCTGAGCGGATGCTGCACAAAGAGAACCGGATCCACACTCCTGCCTCAGGCGGCACTGGGCAAACTCCAAAGTCTGAATCCGGGTGAAGCCACGAATAGGCGTGAAGATCAAGCAGCCCCAAGCTCACGGGAATTCTCCCCAAATGCACCCATGACACCTGCTGTCCTCACCCTCCATTTCCACATCTATCTCTCTATCTCCAGATTGGGGTGTGTGTGTGTGTGTGTGTGTGTGTGTGTGTGTGTGTGTGTGTGTGTGTGTGGTGGGGGGATAGTGCTCAGCTGAGGAGGTGCAGGGGCCCTCCTCGGGATATTCAGACAACCTGAGTTTCAGGCTCAGGCGGGGCTGAGCTCTGCGTGCAGTGCTCTGACCCAAGAGGACGGCTGGGAGGTGGGGGATGGAGGTCTCGTGTGGTGCAGGGACTTGGGTCAAAAGAGCTGCTCTGTGCAGGGCATGCACACCAACCTTTGGGCCATCTCCCCGGCCTGTGGCTTGCCGATCTGGGACTTGGCAGAATTCATACATGCACGAGCCAGTTCATTTAAAGTAAAAATCAGTGTCTCCTTAGACACACATGTTCTTAATGTATGTCTATATGAATCTATCATTGTTGGTGT